TTTTGAATCCTTGAGGATGAAGGGTCACACACACACACACACACACAGAGTCCCTTTACTATTAAATTGTTATATGCTCATCTAAAGAGCATTTAAAAGAATGCAAAGGACCAGAAAGAGTTAATCATCATTCAGAACCAGGATCATATTTTTTTTTAAAAAACCATTATTTTTTTTAAAACATACCTTTAAAGACACAGTGTCACTTTAACAGTGGAGGGATAGTCTAGGCAGGGAGCAGTCCCAAATACTCTGTCAACACTTTGTTTGAAGGGTAAACAGCTTATTGGCTACTATCCTAAATCTGAGTTAGAAAAAAAAGTCAGATTTGTAAAGTAAAACAAGGTCTTCACTAGCTAGCTAATGGTAATGCAGTGCTGAGCCCCTGAATAGACTAGGGACCCTTTTCCTCTCCCAGGAGATTCTTCTTGGCTTTGAACTTTCAGCCATCAAGGGAGGGGGAAAAATAGAAAACAAGCTTGGGTTGAAATGTCAGCATCATCTTGGATTCAAATCAATCAGCTTGATGCATGATTGCAATCGCTAAACCACTTCACCTTTGCACTGCCCTCTTCCATATGTTCTTTATATCAGCATTCAGCAGGCTGGGTGGCTCAGTGGATTCATTTCCTGTCCTAGCAAGGGCTCCAGTTTTAAAAAAATAAAAATAAAAATAAAATAAAATGGAAAAATAAAAATTATCCACCGACAGTTAAGCTCACCAGACTCATTTCTGTCAAGTCTCCCTCTTTGTCCAATGCAGAGCAAGGGGTTTGTTGCAAGAAGCAGTTTAAGGTCTGGTGCAATCTGGGGAATCTAGCAAACCACCTAATGAATTAGCTCTTCAGAGATCTGCAAAAACAGTGCAGGAATTAGCTGGGCCTTTTCAAATGCTGACATGCCCGGAGGAGAGAGAGGTGGGGTATGCGTAGGGCAGCTTCCCTCTAAGGGCAGAGTGATTTAAAGGGGATAATTAAAGCAGCTGTCCCCCATTCAGCAGATTGAGTAAAGCAACCCCCCACACACACACACTCATACACACACTAAGATTTTTCTTTGTCAGCTGCTATGCAAGAGTTAAATTCCAGAGATAAATTTTAATCCAAACAATCTGCAGCCATCAGCATTAAATTGGTGCCCGCCAGCTGGTGATAGTTAAGTGGTTACTTTCTCAAACTGAACCTATTAGCTAAAGGTCAAGACACTTGGTAATACTCCACTGAGTTTAACAATTGTTCATTCCCTCAATGTGCAGTATATTACTGAAGGGGAGAGGGAGCACCCTGTGGGAGGACAGACTTCCAACAAGAGAAGGCTGTGACAACCAGAGCACCTCAAGACATTCAGAGTGCCACCGAACCAACCTTCCATCCCACACTATCCCATCGCAAGAGAAACCCAGGGAGAACAAGGACAGACCATCACTGCTCCCCTACATGTCCTGGGTTTCATAGACTATTAGGGTTGGAAGGTACCTCAAGGGGTCATCTAGTCCAACCTCCTGCTCAAAGCAGGATCACCACCAACTAAATCATCCCAGCCAGGGCTTTGTCAAGCCTGACCTTAAAAATCTCAAAAGGAAGGAGATTCCACCACCTCCCTAGGTAACGCATCCCAGTGCTTCACCACCCTCCGAGCGAAAAAGTGTTTCCTAATATCCAACCTAGACCTCCCCCACTGCAGCTTGAGACCATTACTCCTTGTTCTGTCATTGGCCACCACTGAGAACAGCCGAGCTCCATCCTCTTTGGAGCCCCCTTCCGGTAGTTGAAAGCAGCACTTTGTGGGGGGTGGCTGTGCTGCAGACTCCGAGTTACTGAAATGGTGTCTTTCCACCCTTTAAATGTTAAGGAAAACAAGACAAAATCCTTTTACGATGGAAGCTAAATAAAAATCTGTTCACTGGGAGAGGCCACATTGGCTCCTTCAGAGACACCGCTCAGGAATCATAAAAAGCGGGATTGGCATTGTAGCTGTGGATCAAGGCAGGAGCAAATTGCCGGGGCTTTCTGAGCCTTGCACTCCAAAAAGTGGTCCCACAGGCCTAAAGAGGAGTCCCTAAAACTTGCCACTTCACCATCTCTCATTCTCGGAGCCGCCCACCCACAATACGGTCCCCAAACTGCCTCACAATTATTTTGCTTGACCCAAATTTTCTATCGTCGTAATCAGCTCTGGGCGTGAAAAGGCAGTGCCACTTGGAAAGGAGACCACAGCCTCCAGACACAGAAGGAAAACAAGGCTCCTCTTAAGCAAGTGGAAAGCTGGGACCATCAGTTGTGATCACTGTTGTTCACGTTAAATAAAACCAGATGGAGCAGTACAGTGAGATTATCTGAGGAACAGGACTTTCATATTGTGGTCAGAATGTGCCTTTAAAGAAGCAAATTCTGTCCCCAATTACACTCATGCAGCCACACTGATAAGCACAAAAAGCATTCACAGATTTAAAGAGACAGTTTAAAAAAATGAAAGCAAAAAGGGAATCAGAAGAAGGGGAAGAACAAATTACTACTTTTTCCAAGTTGTTTTTTTACACATGCAGTTTCCTAATCACGTTTTTTTGCAAAAAGAAAAGGAGTACTTGTGGCACCTTAGAGACTAACCAATTTATTTGAGCATAAGCTTTCGTGAGCTACAGCTCACTTCATCGGATCTCTATCCTTCACTGCTGTTCCCCACACACATATCCGCCCCATAGGAAAAAACTAACTATATACGGGAAACGGAAACTGATCCTCTACCAAGTGCTGTCAAACGTACTAAGCAAAAACTGAAAATACAGAGAAAATTGCAGCTGAAAGAGTTTAGCGAGACTAACACACACCTAACATTACCGGAGCAATAGCAAATAAAGAGAGATGAATTTAAATTGATGTCCTTGTTATTTAGCTGATGATTTTCACTCTGTTTTTCAGTACAAGCCACTAGGGTCAACGCCATTGCCAGAAAGGGAGCAGCAACTCGCAGTTCTACTGATTGGGGTTCGGTTTTCAGGAGCTGGGATTAGCAATTGCTCCAGATGTTTTGAAAGAGAGTGTGAACATGGGAGAAAAGGGGGCTGCTTCTCACTTTTACTTTGTCAACGCTCCGGAACACAGTATGCAAGCCTGAAAGGAATATTCTCCACTGAGAAGTAGCTACATAAAATGGTCACCTCGTCCAACAGACCTGCTCCCATGAGTATTCAGTCTTCTTTGCTGACTCTCTCAAACAAGCATCTATGGCTTTCTACTCCCGTTAACGCTCCAGAGATGGATACAACAGAGAGGGATGGAGAAGGATTTTTTTTTCCACCTATGGAATCGCTTACAAAGCTGTAATCGCTTATATCTGTGCTGAGCTACTGAGGGCTAATGGGGCTGCACAGCTCAATTTGAACTCTGTACCAGGCTGAATCTTCATTGCTGGGTGTGTTGCCAGTAACTGGTCCTTTGCCATGTCTATCAAACGTCCATGCCACCATTCAGTGCTGTGATAGCTAAGAAACCAAGCTGGCCTTTGGCCATTATTTCACTGCATTCCAGGCCTTCTCTCTTTCTGACTCATTCTCTTTAGTACCTTGCTGAAATGAGAACCTGAGCTGCAGGGCTGCTTTGTAGTAGCTTTACTAGGTTTAGATTTCCACGAGGTTTGGGAGGCTATTATTTCCATGACAACGAAGTGACCAGCTTAGGACCACACTCTTCATTTTCTGCAGCTGTCACAGGACGATTTAGAGTTTGCAGAGTCACCTGAGTTGTCTGCGGCGTGCTTAATGCCATGACCTAATGGCACAAACAAACCAGGACTGCCTGTGGCGGGACATGGTCAGAGAATGCCTTGTGGGAGAGAAGCTGAAAGCTCCTGATAACTCCTCATTTGACAGCCAATGGCCCTCACTCCCATCCAGACCTTCATTACATGTCAATCCAGGGCCCAGGTTACCCAGCCTGCCTTCCCACTTGTAGCCACACGGCATTCATAGCAAGACGCAAGTTTTGATGCTCCCGTATCAGAGATACGACATGCGTAAGCTCCGCACATTCATAAACCCTGGAGACTGCAGATAAGCTAAAGAAAGTGAAGGAGGAAAATACAAAAAAATTTAAAAAAAAAAAAAAAATCACTCACTCATCTTCAGTTGAGGTGAGAAAAGAAAGGAAAACCTTTTCCTTTCTTCCTTTCAAGAAAAAATAAGTTCCTTTTTTTTCCCCCCAATGTGACAGATCTGATGTCAAATGCAGACACACTGAATTGTGCTGTGTATGGTAGAAGCTAAAAATTATCTACATGTAGTGAGGACAGTGAGTAATTTCAGTTAACAGACCTCTAGGGACACAGCTGTGTTTTGGATAGACATAGGCCTACCTCTTAACCTGCCCAGGCTTAAATTTGGGACACAAAAGTAATAAAGCAGCTCAGTCTAGAAGATGAACGATTCAATTTCTTTAGCATAAACTTAAGAGGCTATAAGTGGCGGTTCATGATTCAATTTCATTGACCTCAGTAATTGATGGTAATGTATTTTGAGATGTATCTCCATTTCATGTGGGATGGGGGGAGGGGGGTTCCTGCATTTAACGTGAATGACATTTCCCCTGAGGAGACAAGCTTGCATGCAGGATTCATGGTTTCTGAAGGAGAGCACAATGGGAGTATCAAACCAAAAATGCATCAGTCATCCACCAACGGCAAACTCCCATGCCCAAGTCACAGCTGGGTGCTCTGCTACCCACGGCAGGTTTCTGAAAGCACAGCTGGCACACACATGGCTTCCAGACTCACCTGCCATGCTCTCCTTTTAGAGCTTGGCTTGCAATACAAAAATGTGTGTTTCATATGAAAATTAATGGAGTTTTTTGGAGGAGAAGAAAACGAAAAGAGAGAGAGAGAGAAACCCACATATGATGAAGTGAGGAAATGAAGAGCAACTCAGCCAAAATAAACTCACCCAAACCCAATTCCTCCTGTCCCACCAAGACTCTGTGGGAAGAGATACAGATTTCCAGTTGACTTACCCTCTTCGCAGTTACTCCCTGTGAACCCAGGACAGCACCTCCACTCCAGGGTGGTCACAGTTCGGTAAGACATTTTGTACGTGGGCCTGATAAGAGTCCTGTAACTAACACAAACGAGAAGTCAACAAACTGCACCTCCCCATCTTGCAGACTATCACTGCCATTTTGTACAGAGGGGCCATTTTGTCCCACGCATGGGACTATCCCAGCATCCAACTGCCCAACAGCTGTAACTGGCAACATACAAAGTTGCCAGGTGGGTTTGGGTGAGGGAATCGGCACTTTGTGGGTTTGATCCTGCTGTGCTTACTCGCTGCTGAACTAAATGGCTCTGCTCGTGAATGGATGCGGGATCAAGAGAAGTGCATGTGTATTTAACTCCCCCGGCACCAAACCCAGTATTTCCCAGAACTCTTTTTTTTTTTGGTAGATATTCACTAAACACAGTCCCACATATACATTCCGTTTCTCCATACCATAATATCAGAGGATCAGTTTGCAAGAAAGCGGCCAAAGACAGAACACACAAATTGTTTATCGACACTGGGACATACAAAGAGCATGACTGTGCACACGAAAATGAGCAAGGATCATCTTGTGGTTAGAACACGAATACGATCCAGGAGATTTGGGATCAATTCCTGGCTCTGCCATTGACTCCTTTTGTGACCTCATTTAATCCATGCCTCAGTTTCTCATCCATTAAATGGGGATAATTCCTCCTTTCTTTGTCTTATCTATAAGCAGCTCTTTGGGGCAGGTTCTCCTTTACAGCATCTAACATAACAGGGCCTTGATCTCAGTAGGGACATCTAGGCACTATTACAATACAAATCATAGTGCACACATTTAGTGATAGTCTCGATAGCCATTCGTATGCACAACTAGCGATTTGCACACACCATCACCTGACACACGTATGCAATCATGTTATTTCCACAGGCACATTTCTATATTAACTACATGCAAATCCTGAGCTTCTTTTTTGAAAATTTGGCCCTACCAAAAAAAAATTATATATATGTGTACACACACACACACACACACACACACTATATATATATTCAGCAAATTAGGTTTCCCTGCATTAGCTGGAATAATTGTTGTCACTCTTTAAGAAGCTTCAGGAGAACATGGAAGGTTTTAACATGTGTAAAAAAAAAAGTTATATTCTATAAACTTGCTCTCATTTATACGCCGATACAATGAACTGGGGCAGGGGCCAGGAGGAGGAGAGAATGAAGGTGAGAGTGGGGGAGAGACTAAGGAACTCTGCATTGTGGCTTTATAATTCTTTTAGGGAAACTTACACCATGTGACAGATTTAAAATGTACTGCATTCTACCAGGAACCACCTGTGACTTGCAATATCTAGAAACGCCAGTAGGTGGAGCTCTGTCACCAAGCCCAGTATTACTCTAGTGTACTGCAATACCCAGGGCCAGTTACAGAAAAAATAATTCTCAGAAGGAATGTGCAGTCTCCCTCTATTGGCATGGGCTGCCCTCTGCTGGGATGAGGGGGATCTCTACCTTATAACAAGAGCTGGAATTAACAGGCAGTCCGGCATTGGAAGCAAGTCCCTTGCACTTTCGGTATGATCATGATCAGAGGATGAACTATATGCTTGAGCATGGAAGAAAGGTGAACCAAGAAGAGCTTGTCTCACCAAATGGAGCACTAAATAATGAGAACCAACCTTGATTCCTACAGGTCGCAGAGTGGGATCCTATCAGAAAAGGTCTTGCACTACAAGTGGTAAGGTTAATTTGTTAGCAGCAGCAGTAATGCAAGCATACCAGCAAGGGGTGCCCCTTCGTGTACTGAACACAAGTGGGGGCCTCTGCTACTATAAGCACATAAATGATATTTATGCCGATTGCTCACTCTGGAGACGGACAAGTTTTCTCCGTTATGCACAGGACAGGCACTGCATGAGCTGCAGCGGCACAAGCTCCCTCAGCAGCATGCCACAACCCTGACCTGGGAGAATAATGTAGTCTCCCTGGACCATTCAGTCCTTGGCCTTGCTGCTGAATTGCCAGCAAGCACCCCAATTAGGAGCAAGATGTTTGTCTAATCGGGGCCAATCTGAGCCAAGTAACTTCACCTACTTCTTCACTACAGCACTTTCCAGCCACAGGTATTGACTTCCAGGTTCTTTGATAAGGAGATAAGCCTCTCACCAAGCCTAACCTGTAGGCAGGCCCACAGTCTTAAAACAGATGGCAAAATTAAGGAACAGCAGCATTAAACACCTTGTTGAGGGTCTCATAGAACATCTTTTGCAGAGTCAGGAACAGAACTGAGGCCTCCTGACTCAGTCTTGTAGTGGCAGCCCAAAGCCCATCTTGCCTGGTTTAAGCCCTGAACCAGCAGTCAGAAGATCACGACTTTGTCGCTAACAACTCAGCTGTGTTTGACCTGGAGATGAAAGCCTCTGTCCCATTACCAGTGCCAGCTCGTCTCCAAGTACGCCGCAATTTCAAATCGTGGTTCTTGCCAAGATGTTAAAACGCTCTCAAACTTCATTATGAGGTGCAGAGAATGGCTTGAGCCAGGCTAGAATCTCAGCAGTCACCACAGTACTCAGGAATTAGCTGTAGGTTTACTCCTCAAACTAAGAGGAGTCAGGCACTTCTTGGGACATGACAGATTTGGGGTTCAGTTAGGATTACCATGCATCCTGAATTTCCTGGAAGGAATCGGATGTTCATGGTGCCGTCCAGTTTCTTACTGGCAAGCCTTGGACAGATTGCAACATCAGACCGAACTGAGGTCTGCACAATGTCACAGGACAACATTACAACTTCATCACGTGACACTGCATCAGAGCCTGATGTCCCACACAATGTGAGGTTATATCAGCACATCACAAGATGGTGAAGACTAGAATGAGAGGGATGTGGATCCACTATCAGAGTATGTTACAACCACTCACTGGCCAATTGACATAGAAGAGTTGTTTTTGCTCTTGGAGCCTACTTACCAGTTGAAGGAGGAGGAAAATGGTGGAGAAACATCAGTTGGAGAGATTCGGGGTGGGGTGGGCGGTGGAGAGTGCAATGGATGGCTAAAGAGACTGATAATTGTCTAGGGAGCCTTTCTCCTCTAGCTCACTGGTTCGATGCCAACTCAAGTCTTGTGTGCTCCACACTGGCAAACCTCAGATAGTGCGGCTTTATTTTAAGTTTAGAACATAATACATTGGGTCAAATCCTATCCCTGTCACAGTAAGCAAGTCAGGACCCAGTCTAGGCACTAGTTCTTTGTATTACAGTAGTGACAAGAGGTAACCAATCAAGAACAAGAAACCCCATCATGCTAAGAAATACATGTATCCATTACAAGAGACTGCCTTAAAACTTGAAGAGCATATAGTTGAAACAGACAAGACAAAAGGGTAGGAGGTACAGAAGGGGAACTTGCCCAAGGTCACACAGCAGGTCAGTGGCAGAGTGGATTGGAACCCAAGTCTCAAGCTCCAGTCCTATGCACGATTCCTTAGCCCATGCTGTAAGCTATTTACGGTGGTTTTCCCCCACATCAATCCAGCCACGTGCCCCTTGAATGCTTCAAGAAAAGCACAGGAAAAGCTTTGCCCTCATGTGTCAATAATGCACGTGCCACCATCAGCATTCACCTGCACTGCCACCTCAAGCGAATGTCAAAATGGTAACATGGCACTTGAACAGCTCCTGTAAGTGAAGGCTCTCCGAGCACTTTACAGGTAATCAGCTGCCAACCCTCACAACTCACCTGCAAGGCACGCAAGTAAGGGGAAACCGGGCAAAGAAGGGGAAACCGGGCAAAGAAGGGGAAACCGGGCAAAGTTTAGCCGCTTGTCCGTAACACAGCAGGTTAGTGGCAGGATTTGGAAGAGAACCCAAAAGGTCTTGACTAACAATCCTAGCAATTGCCATACTAAATCAAACCTGTGGTCTATCTAGCCCACTGTCCCGTCTCCAAGAGTGGAGACTACCCCTAACTACTAGACCACAGTGCTTCTCAGTGTGTGATCGTGGTTTAGGAACCAGTGGATCTGGATACACAAGTAAGAGAATCTGAAAAGACTGTACAGAACATTATGATTGGGGATACAGGTGGATCAATTGACTGTGGCTAGCCAAGCTCTTAATACTGGAGATCAAGCTGTTGAGAGGATATGAGTGGTGTAGTCACACAGTGGATCTCAAGTCCCAGTACACGCACATTCCTCTTGCTCATAAAGAAGCATTGCTGAGTACAACAGCCAGTCATGACACAAGAAAGGGAGAACGTGCAACTTGCCTGAATCTGATCCTCAGCAATCAGGTCAAAGAGGAGTGACTGTCTCTGCTGTGGCATAAACAGAACAGCCTTTCACACACAGGAAATACCTTTCCCGTTTGTTTGGATTCATTTATTTTTTACACATATAAACAAAACTGTTTGTACGTAACTGGCCTAAGCAGGGGGAGGGGTGGGGGTTGTCAAACTTGCTTCCACATCGCAAGACAAGCAGTCTTTCTTAGCAGGTTTCAGAACAACAGCCGTGTTAGTCTGTATTCGCAAAAAGAAAAGGAGTACTTGTGGCACCTTAGAGACTAACCAATTTATTTGAGCATAAGCTTTCGTGAGCTACAGCTCACTTCATCCGATGAAGATTAGATTAGCTGCAAGTTCCAGTAACCATGTATAGGGCCCGATTCTCCATGGAGTTGAATGTCAAACTCCCAAAATCCATAGTGGATAGGGCTCAGCTCCTGGCAGAATCAGACCATCATTGAGCAATACAATAGAACCTCAGAGTTACAAACACCTTGGGAATGGAGATTGTTTGCAACTCTAATGTTCATAGCTCTGAACAAAACATGATTGTTCTTTCAAACGTTTACAACTGAACATTGATTTACTACAGCTTTGAAACTTCATTATGCAGAAGAAAAATGCTCGTCCCTTTATTTATTTTTAGTATTTATGTGGAACAGTACTGTACTATATTTGCTTTTTTATGGTCGCTGCTGCTGCCCGATTGCCTACTTCCAGTTCCCAATGAGGTGTGTGGTTGACTGGTCAGTTCGTAACGCCGGTGTTTGTAACTCTGAGGTTCTACTGTAGTTTG